TAAAAGTCACGAGTTATAAGGTATATTTACTAGCTATAAGAATATATTATATATAAAAAAAAAAAAAAAAATTATCAAAAACGTTATTTGGAAACAATAAGAAAATAACGTTTTTAAAAACGTTAATTAAAAACGCTATGGAAAAATAACGTTTTTAAAAACGTTAATCAAAAACGATATTGAAAAATAACGTTTTTAAAAACGTTAATCAAAAACGTAATAATCAAAAACGTTTTCCATCCCTGATAATAATTAATATATGTTTAAGAAATTAGGTATCAAATAAATTATATATCGAAAATATTTTGTGTAAATTATTATTTGGAATAATAGATCGAGTCTATATCTGTGCATGTATGTATGAATACTGTTTAATTATATAAGAATATGTAAGGTTATATACTAGTATGTGTGTATGTAAATATGTGTATGCCTATATGTAGGCGACTTATTGAGGTGTATATATGAATGTTTATATGCTCTTTATATATTTATGTAATCCATATAATATGTTTAGGTGTTTGTAATGTCGAAAATACATATCGGTATATGATGATTTAATGCGGGTTTGCATATCGTACTATGTTTCACATGTTCATGTAACTGTAGAAATAGGTGGTGGCTCGATTATAATATTTTTTACTTAATTCTCACTGCACTTGACGAATAATAGTACAATAATAACAGTAAGAGATTTTTTTTTCTCTTAAATACCTATAGTCCATTTATGTATATATAAGCTATGATTTTAGTCTAATGTAATCTCATACAATATTTCAATGTATATATGATTGATTAAAAATATAAGTAAGTATCTGTGATATTATTCATGAATGGTTGGCCTAATAGTATTGTATATATATATATATGTACGTTCCCACCTAAATGCTCATTGTAGCATGAGTCTGTATGGAAAATGACTAATAACATGAAGATTTATAAATGTTTTATTGATAAAGATGTTACTATAATACTACAGATGCAACGTTAATTATTGTGTAGGTAATTATTTCGAGATTTTTGTAATAAACCGTATAAAGTACCTATCTATTGAAATGAGAGATATTGTTAATAGTTCTTAATTTTCCGATATTATAACTTATACAATGATATATAGAGGAGGTGATATGCCTGCGTGTGTGTATACACACGGTAAAATACAAATATTATACAAGTGATATGACTGTTGTAAGTATGCGCTGATAAAATATATATAATATGTGTCGGTCACTTGAGTGATATGTAAGTTCCATGCGTTTTCACATAATATACGTTTTGCTCGAGTCGAATGGGGTTTCGTTGGTGGTGACGGCGACTGGAAACGCTTGTGTTTTTCCCATGCACATGCATGAGTTATAATATGTATATGTCGGTAGTGATATGTAAGATTTAATCTATTCTGTGGTTATATGGTGTAATATCTAATAATATATAGTATATACTATATACAACTCTATACTAAAAAGTAAATATTTTGGAAATAAAAATTCCTTAATATATAATATAAGGCGAGTTTAGGTAAATATAACATAGACTAGTGGATATGGTTAAAATGAAAAGTAAGGATGCATAAGCATATTTGTGTTTAATTCAAATTTAATAAAATAAATGTTGTATTATTTCTAACATGAAATGTACTGTATAAACGGTGAAGTCAAAATATGATAGTTTTATTTTTGCATTTAGTGATCAAACTTACTCGAAGACGACGTCTGAGACTCTCAGAGTCGATATCCTCTATTCTCCTTAGTCTGTATATACCTACTAGTTATATAAATATATAATATTGTGTGTCATAAATATATAATGTTGTGTATGTTGTCGAGTAATCCTCTGAGCTGAATAAAATATAGGTAGATCTACCTATTTTAATTGAGATATTTTTCTATAATATGCGTGTTTAATCTTAGGTACTATATGGTCTCATCTAATAGAATAGAACTATTTAGATGATTATTGGGCATAACAGTTTTGTAGTAGTACGTATAACCAATTGATGAGCGATATGTTGTACTTTTGAAAATGCTTTTTAGGGTGGATGTATTGGAATGTTTAAATGCATCTATGTAAATGTGACTAAGTATTTTAAAGTATGTATTTCATGTATGAGTGTGTCTATATGTAACAAAGTGTCTTATATTGATATGTAAGTTATATAACAAGATTAGATGTGTGTGATGGTGTATATAATATGAAAGTACCTATTTATGTATGAATTCTGTATATATGTGCCCTGTATGGGAAATGGGAATAAATGATTATATATAATACAATAATATGTAAGTGTTATAGTATGTTTAGTTGTTTGTTATAATGAATGTAATAATACTTTTTGAAATGTTGTGTTACACGGTGGAACACAACGCTTAAGCTGATGAAACTTCCCTGTAAAAAGGTGCTCAGAATATTATACAAATATGTATATAATATGTGAGTATCTAAATATGTATGAACTAACCTATGGTTATTATGAGTGTATGTGCATGTATGTGTTAGAGAAAAGGATGCACGAAACTCATCGACATCTGTAAACGGTTGCCCGTATATTATATATATTTCGGTATGTTGTCAGGTAGAAGAATGTCTACGAATATCTCTATACTTTAACGTGTATATTTTGAAAAATATAATTTTTTAGAAGTTTATGTATGTGTGGGTTTGAGATACATTCCGGTGTATAATGTATGGTTTAGCGATTCGTTTTTTCGTATGTATTTATATAATAAGAAAATTGTATACTATTTTTATGTATGTATGTATGTATGTCTGTATGTATGTATGTATGTATGTATGTATGTATGTATGTATGTATGTATGTATGTATGTATGTATGTATGTATGTATGTATTGTATGTATGTATGTATGTGTATGTATGTATGATGTATGTGTATTATGTATGTAGTTATTTTATATATGTATGTGTATGACTGTATGAGAGTTCATATGTATTGAATGATAACGGACTGGGTGGCTTGTTTGTGTACTATATAGAATACGGACTCGTACGTGTGTGTGTGTGTGGTTGGTGTGGTGTGTATGATAAGGTATTATAATATATATATACGTAGTGATGTAACTTTGTATAATAAAAATGTATAAACTCGTTATTATACTGGTATTATACACGCTGTATAAAATCTGTATAACACTTTTTTTTTCGCTCAGTGGTCTAAAATAAGAGGTTTTCCTTATCTTTTTTTTTTTTTTTGTAACAACCGTGAACTACAAACTGTAGTTGTAACTCAAGATACTAAGTACTAACAAGTAACAAGGTGAAGTAAAGTTAAAATGGGACGGCCTAATAAATATAAAGAAGCTGTTAATAAATATTTTAAGAAATCACTGACAAAAAAAGGTAAATCAGAATACTTTGAATGCACGTTTTGTTTAAATTATGTTTAATTTATGTCTATCTGATTCTGAAGACGATTATTAAAAATCTATTATTTTATATTTACAAACAAAAAAAGGTTTTATTTTATTTTATTTTATTTTTTTTTATACTAAACAGGAAACTAAAAGACTTAAGTGTTCAAGTTGTTACTATAACCTATAAAGTATTACTATTTACTATTGTTACTTTTTTTACATTAAACATTTATTTTAGTTATTATTTAGAAAAAAAAACCAAAAGAGTTATTTATGTTTATTAAAATTGTTAATTATTACTTTACTTGTTGACTTTGTTATTACTTTTGAATTTAATTTATATTACTATTTTATTTGTATTAATAAGACTCAATTTTCAAATAGGAAATGGACAATGGTTCAGTAATCAATTTTAAATTGTATAATTGTATATTATATATTTGAATACAGGATTTTATACCGTATAAAATGTGTATAATACGGTATAATACAAAAAATTATTATACCCTACTTAAATACAATAGTATTATACAAAGTTTAATACACGTATAATACAAGGTATAATACAGTATAATACAAAAATAAAATAAAATACCGTATTTTAACAACACTATATATATGTTGAGCGTGTGTTCAGAATGAAAACTGAAGAGTACCGTATGGTATCGTGTGTTTCATAGTATATTATAGTTTGTAAGTGTTTGGTCATAACATATTTATTTGTATAAATATACCTATGTATCGTATATATTATGTAAATTGTATCAAATGTTCAGGAGTTTGTGATAGTGATGTTTATATAATTGTTTGGATATAAATTATGTAAGTATGTACCTATATATGTAAACTATATTATAATATATTTGAGATACATTCCGGTGTATGCTTTAGCGAGATGTTTATTCGAATGGGATTATAATCTGAAAATGGTATAATATTTTTAGATATGTGTTATGTTGTTACATTATATGATATTATGAGCATGTATGTATGTATTATATAGTCGATACAAATGTACATCAGAATATTATGTTTTTATTTTTTAAAAGGGTAGGCAGGTAATGTATTTGATTAGGAAGGGGTAAAATATATGTCGGACAAGAGTTCGATATAGTCGATACAAATGTGAATTAGAAGATTATATATATTTTTTTTAAGGGGTAAATAAAAGGGGAGGTAATGTATTTGAAGGGGAAGGCATAAAATATATGTCGGTCACGTGTCGGATCGGGTGTCGTGCGACGAGTTTATATGTGTTTCGGGTTGCCTATATTGAGTAATTAATACAAGTTTGGGAGGTACGTGTACTTCGAATTGCCTATACAGAAGTGTCTATGTTTTTACATGTAAAATTTAAGGGGGAGGTGCTCCAGAACTTACATAATCATCCTACTCTGGTCGATAGAAGTCGAGGTCGGGGTTACCCGGATTTTCATGTTCGACATGATCCATGAGTGCCCGATGCCAGCCGGCGCCGAATCGTACGCACCGCAACTGTTCACCGCGTCCAAGATGCTGACCAGCAGGACCCACAAGCCACGCTTGACCATGGGCGTCACGCAGAGACCATTCGGACGACTATTACCATAATCACTGGTGGAATGACGACAACATCCACACGTGCGTTGAGATGATTAGCGCGGACGACGTACAGGATAAAGTGCAGACGCCCTCTTTGGCGACCGATCTACTGACGGAGGTGGCATCGGCGGTGACAGCAGACGACGTGGATCTGTTTGCCGGGTCGTCCAAGAACTACGATCTTTGCGACCCACACGAAAGACGGATTCAAAGGATTTGCAAGACAATCATACGCCGAGACCGCAATAATAAGAAACTTAACACGTGACGAATTTCGGTGTAATATTAGGAATGATTATTAATTTATTAATAATCATTCCTAATATTAAATTATTAATATTTTATATTGTAAGCAGCAAGCACCGAAATTCTTCACGAGTTAAGTTTCTTATTGCGGTTTCGGCGTATAATTGTTTTGCAAATCATTTGAACGGACACGATTTTTGTCTTGCGCTTGTCCAGCAGCTTTAGACACTGACGGCTTTCGTGTGGGTCGCAAAGATCGCAGTTCTTGGCCGACCCGGCAAACAGATCCACGTCGTCTGCTGTCACCGGCGCTGCCACCTCCGTCAGTACATCGGTCGCCAAAGAGGGCGTCTGCACTTTATCCTGTACGTCGTCCGCGCTAATCATCTCAACGTACGTGTGGATGTTGTCGTCATTCCACCATGGATTATGGTAACAGTCGTCCGAATAGTCTCTGCGTGACGCCCGTGTGATCAAGCGTGGCTTGTGGGTCCTGCTCTTCAGCATCTTGGACGCGGTGAACCGTTGCGGTGCGTAGGATTTGGCGCCGGCTGGCATCGGGCACTCATGGATCATGTCGAACATGCCAATCCGGGTAGCCCGACCACGACTTCTTTCGACCAGCATCATACCAATGCCCTGGACTGTGCTCCGGGCTACGCGGGTAGCCGCAGGCACCACGCGGTCGCGATCTTTGCAGTCGGCGGCTAGACACGGGTCATCCGACACGATGTCTATCAGCCACGGCCTTAAGTCTTCACCCAACACAAACGTACCACGAAACAGTTCCAAACAGTTGGGTCGCAGCTTGAGAGAGCCGGACTTCACGGCCGCGGTTACTACCGACACCACAGATCGCCTAATCGCCGTGTAGACGTCGTCGGCGTTTTCACGGTCGCTGACTTTGTCGTTCACCTGTTGTTGCTTTTTCTGTTGCTGCGCCTTGTCCACTTTTGTACTACGCCGCATCTTTGCCTCGAGCTGTTTGAGGCTGCAAATCACGGCCGTCGACCGCACCATCCCGTGCAGCTTTCCTGATTTGAGCCGATTGAAGTGCCCGGACTTGTCAGAGTTCTGGTACAGCGAGAATCTGTGCTGGTACGGTTGCACTGCACACATCCGGTGCAGCCACACCGTCAGCTTGCCATCAATCGTCGATAGCACGATCCACGTGTGCACGTCCGACTTGACGTTGTCGCGCAACAGCGGCGTCTCGATGTATTTCTGCACGATACGGTCGTCTTTACCCTCCCGTGCGCAACGGGCTAGCACGTCACTGATCTTGTTCAACATCACCGGCCGGTTTTTGCCCATCGTATCCTTGACTATCCAAGTGTTCTCGTAGCCGTCCATCGTCGTCTGTGGCCTCGCCGCCGTCATCTTGTTCACGATCAGTATACTAGACGCCGTCAGATAGCACAACGCCGCTTCAACATCGTCACCCGTCCCTGGGACAGAAAACTTCTTCCGGTCGTGCACGATCATGTAATAGTGTTCGAAAAACGTTTCCCAGCCAGCTCCCTTACCCGGAAACGTTGTTGCCTCTAGCGATTTGTCACCCGTTAAGTATTGGTGGCATTTAATCGCGGCGAAATGGAGTGCCGAAAGAGGAGCCTGTGACATTATATGGAATAGAAAAATATAATTATTATCAAAACGTTATAATAAATTAATAAAACAAATATTAGTTTAAAATTTATACTCAAATAATATTATACAAAATCACATCTCACACTTATAAGTTATAAATTATAATGTATGTACGACAAACACAATTTTTATATAAATTTATTCAATATTTGATTCTGAGCAGAGCTATGAATGTATTGATTTTACAATAATGTGTGATTTTATATTTTTATTTTTGTGTCTGAAGAATACATAGACACTTTTCTAGTAGGATAAACCGATTGTCAACTTCAAGGGAGGTTTTTTGGTTGAAAAATTGAATCTATAGACGGAACATTTGGTAGGCCAAAATTGAAAATTTTTAATACTTTTTAATCTAATTATAAAAAAATCATGAAAATTTGTTAACATTTCAATATTATTAAAATAATTGTTTGGAACCGCATTAGTACAGTATTAGACCGTCTTCGATTTTTATATTTTTACTGACAATTAACAATTTTTAGGCTGGTTGTGGGTGGATCTGTAACGGCCCACTAAAAAAATAACATATAAATGATACACTGCACGCCAGTCCAGCTTATCACTTTCTATCGCTTTCTAGTTTCTGCTTCACCAATAAATATCGATGAAATGTTTTTCACTGAGTCGAAAAACTTAAAAATATATTCCATGTGTTCCTATTGTCGATCCTAGAATAAATCTATTATTAAAGAATAAATATTGCTTAAATCAACAATAATTTTTTATGAGAGTTTGAACATTTTTCGTTTTTCCCACTTATGGAGAAAAGTACTGAGAAAAAAATAAGTAGTATATAGGTACAGTAAATACATACAATTACAATAATTGAACATTAATAGTATTATAAATTAAATGTATTAAAGCTCGAAGTGTGTATGTTAACTTCACAAATATGTAAATGTTATCAGCAAAAATTAAATCAACCTACCGTAATAATAATTAATATTATAGTAAAATATACAATTACTCTAATAGCAATATGAAAAATATATCAATGTATCATGAAATATACTTACTTATGTCTATATATAATAGTTACAAATATAGGCTAACTGACGTTTACGCTCAGAATCGTTTTTCGTATGCAGTGATTTATCATTAAATTCAAATACAGTAACTAAAAACTACCATATATTCTATGTGTGGGAGATAAAAATATTCGTATTATAAATAAATTATTTAAATACGAACTGTAGGTAAGTACCTATATCTATAAGTGTTATACAGTCTTGTTAAGTATTCGAATACTTGTATTTAAATACTTTTTATTTTTATTTGTATTTTATTCTAGAATACTAAATACTTTTTTAAATTCTCGTGGTCTACCTACTTCAAATTCCAATTACTAATATTTCGGAATGTACTATTTTAAATATTGTTTAATTTATTAATAAGGTTTCGCCAAAATACATGCAGATAACAGAAAGACTGAACACTGAAACTCCCATCGGCTCCTCACTCCCACATTATACCATGGCATACAAGACACTGATGACCACTGGTTGGATTGGCATTTATCTCGAATCTTTAAAATATAGTCTTTCTTCTTATTTAATGAGTGGTACTGTGGTAGTAATTTATAATTGTATTTGAATATAAGATATTCGTATTAATGTTATTAAACTTTTTTTTTCATATTTATTTTAATTTGTACAATCTGTGTACGGAGGGATATAAAGGAGAGTTTGGTTGGCTTGATTAAAGAAACTATTCAATAATAGTACTTCATGGCGTGGATAGTAGTGGTTAGTCGACTTGTTATTGAATTGATTGAATTATTCATTATTCATTTATTGAATTAAAAAAAAAAAGCATTTGTGTAAGTAGGTATTTTGAATACTTTTAAATGAAAGGATTTGAATACGTAATTACAAAATACACCATGTATTTAAATGTGTATTCTGAAAACATTTGAAAAGTATTATTAACAAGACTGGTGTTATAACACATATATTAAAAATAGTATGGTTGGCTCGTGCAGAAAAGTAATTGCCAATGGTTCGTGCTGCAAACGTCACCCTTGGAACAAAAAATTGAAAAGTATACCCTTCCCGTATTTGCCTCACAATATATACATACTATATTTGGATATGAAAATTACTAAACAAACCAAATTGAAACAAAAAAACATTAATATAACTGTGTTTCGAATAAACTCACTTGACCGTTTTTCGAACACATAACACGATGACCGCCATCCACGAATGCACGCAGTAACGATACGCAAGCGGTTATCGAGTAGTCCGCGATGAAGCTGTCCATGTGTATCCCGCCGGGGCTTACTGGGTACGCCCTCGGGAAGTGGACGTCGAACTCTGATTTCCCAGCCAAAGAGTGGCCACACAATTTCAACGCGGCGTTCGAGTTCCTAGGGAACCGGTTGACCACAACGTCCGGGTGCAGCGTCAACCAGTTGACGCCGCCGCTGTACTCGTCCATCCACACCAGACCGGACTCGTAACGCTTGACGACCGCCTTAACGCGTTCGGCATTGCTGTGTAACGATAATATTACGGTGGGATCTAAACATAGGACACAAACAGATTTAACAAATATAATATAAATATTAAAATGATAAATATAGCACTTAATAAATCAGTCGTTTTACCGACTCCGAATGAGGAGTGAGGACTTATAATAATTAATGTATGCCTAATACCTATAGCCTATAGAGGGGAATAGGTATCTTTATTTGAGTTACAAGTACTTATAAACATTGGTCAATGATGTTTCCAACGAGCCCCTATTTTTTTCTATTTATAATAAATTCATATATATATTTTTTCCATTTAAATTTGAATTATACAACGTTATACGGTATATCAACCTGTTCGTAATATACCTTTTTCGATGGGAGCCTTATGAGAATTTACTTGTTTGTAAAACCTTTTCGACGGAAGCAATGGACAATGGACGGGAGCCGTTTGGGATGCACTGTTTTAGATATGAGACGTGACCAGGGCCGGATTGGTTAGGCGAGCTACCGAGAAAATCTCGGTGAACCACTTGAAGTTTGGGCCGTGAGTTTTTGTGATGAATTTGTGAGTGTGAGTGAAAATAAATTCATGTTTAAAATACGATTGGCCACCTATAAGCTGGTAATAATTAAAGACTTAATTTTGGACCACTGAATATGTAAATGGGCCGCATATAGATGTAAAAATCTCGATGGGCCAATACATACCAATCCGGCCCTGGATGTGACATGGAACGATAGAACATAATGACAATTTTACCCTACTCGAGTATCCAAATTACATAATATTAGGTAGGTAACATTCAGCTGGAGGTAATACAACCATGCACAAGTTAATACTGTAGGTACAGGTTATTATACTGTTCGTTAACGAAACAGAAACAAAATACATGGTAATGCCGCAAATTCTGGAAACTATAACAAATCTAAAAGTTGAGAATTATGTGTATGAGCAAGTAGAACTAATATATGCTCAGTGAAGTATGGCAGACTGGCAGAGAATAAATGCGGCCAATCTTGCCATACTTTGCAATGAACAAAATTCTTAGCTCCAAAATATAATCGTCGAGTAGTCGAAAACTAAACAAAAATTATTTGTACAATTGCTATATAAGACCAATTGCTACGTGTTTCTGTGAAATATGGTCGACTACTATGGTCTAAGGACTAAGGGTGATAGATACAAGTAATTATATTTTTAAAGAAAGGTATTAAGAATGATTTATGGAAAAACATAAATCATAATTTTAAAAATCATCACTTTTCTCATTAAAAATGTCTTGAAGAATATATCCAATAATATGCCAAAATAATAACTATAGTATTTTATACGTAAGTAACAATTTAACCTAACTTAATTTTTCTATAACAAACCAAAAAAATCATGCAAATATATTAACTATTAAATATATCAAATTCAATTAGGCAATTTGTATGGCAGTTATTAGCTACATTTATTGGTTCTAGGTCACTTTGTATGGTCGAGCATTAAAAGTGCGAAACGCGGACACTTTGTACGGTCGGGTAAAAAGGTACATTGCAGAACGCGGACACTTTGTACTATTATACATAAAGTATATATATTATAAATATAAGTTATATACCTAAGTAGTCAGTATACAGGGTGTCCCGTGAGGATTTACTCATTAGCCGTAGAGGGGGACTCGCCGCCCAGCCAAAAACCAGTTTATTGACGTTTTACTAATAAACTAAAAAAATTATTAAAAATCATGAGATTAATGAAAATAAAATGTTAAAAGCTCAAAATGTTCACAAAAATATACTCTATAGAATGGCTATCTTCAATTTTTTCAAAAATAAAAAAAAAATATTTTTTTAACTTTTTTACTAAAAAATTTAATTTAATTAAAAAATAAAATATTTGTAGTGCTTACCTCTGCGAGTCTTAATAAAAAAACATAATTACGATATCTCCATTATTGCAGGAGATATCGCAATGAGTAAATCTTCACGGGACACCCTGTATATAATATTATAAATTATAATGTAAATTATTAAAATATAAAAATTAAAAATAAAAAGTAAATTGTTTATCGTATATTGATAATGTACAAAATAATCAAACAATCAATAATATTATTATAAATCTTAATTGTATTATAATATTAGATATCAGTTTTAAAGCAAATTAAAAATGTGTAGAATATAAATATGTCATAATGACAAATAAAATATAATAATGAAAAAAAATCATTAAAAACTAGGTACATGCATAGTACCTATAATATGGAAATATGTCAAAGTATAGTATAATAATATGAAAATATGTCAAAATGGTATCAAGCTTAGATAAAAAGTGCACATACATAATTATTTAATATTAAGGGTTTAATAAATCAATTTTAGAATAATTCGTCAAAATGAACGATCTATAAAATATAAAATTTCCATTCTTTAATATTTAAAAAAATCTTTAAAACCTACATGTATAATATGACAGTGTCTTAGTGAAATGCATTTATAACATTGCAAAATGCACCATTATCGATGTACCCATGAGATTCCCCAGATTATATAAAATGTATTTATAACATTTTTAGTAAAATTTGTCATATATAATATATAGTATTATTTACTTGCTAACCTAGGTATATAACTTATATTTATAATATATATACTTTATGTATATAATAGTACAAAGTGTCCGTGTTCTGCAATGTACCTACCTTTTTGTCCGACCGTAAAAAGTGTCCGCGTTCTGCAATGTACCATTTTACCCGACCGTACAAAGTGTCCGCGTTGTACATTTTGAACAATGGACCGTACAAAGTGACCGTTTACCACATTTATTTAACATACAATTTTTGCAAAATCGTAGAGAAACTCAATTAAACCGAGAGCTTAAATTTAAAAAAAAAAATTAAAATATCTAAAATATCTAAATTTTGTATATCAAAATAAAAAAAATATCATGTTTCAATCGTTAAATATTAAGAATGGTTATAATAGTTAAATTAGGTAGGTTTCATTAGTTATTTTATTTAATACAGGTAGGTAGCTACTTAATGCTGTTCAGTAAGTAGGTGTAAGTATATAATCTATGACCTATCACCTATCTGAAGATCATAGATGAAAATAAATTTTATTATATTATTATTACAATTAAAATAATATAATGATACAAAAAATAAATAAGTATATTTGAATGTTAAATGTCGATCAAAAAATATTGATATATATATAATTAGAATATAGACCTATCTAACTATACTATACTATGCTTTCATCTATGATATTGGTAATTACTAATTAGCAGTATTAGGTATACATTTACCCATAGATATGTAGTCGTATACTTGTATCATAACGTGGTATACGAAAAAAAAATCAAGGAAAAAAAACCAAAGTGATAATTTAATCAAAATTTTTTGAAACAAAAGATTGAGTTAACTTAGTTGTAGTTCTCAGAATAGCCGGACAATTAAATGAACTTTTTTTTGTACATCTCCATGTATATTATTGTATTCCAGCATATTTTAAAGTATACATATGAACCTTTGTGACAAATCTTATCTGCACCCTTATTTGATTTAAAAATTTCAATAATTTCCATATTTTACACTATTAAATCCAGAACTTTAAAAAAAAAACAATTTGCAAGACAAGAACACAATACAGTAAACTGTAAACTAGTAAAGTCAAAGTCAGCACAATGATCAATAGTGTATTTTTATATGATCTTCATTTAGATTCCCCCTATTTCAACTATAAATCTTGACAGATTGACAGATTAACTTGTCAAACTTATCTGATTATATAGTTGTCAGTTGAGTTATTTTGATTTTTGAAACCAATATAGTATATGTACAGGAAATTTCTCAAACTAAAATGTATGTAATAGGCAAATTAAACTTATATTTTTATATACATAGTGATCTCGTAACTTATATTCTATCAATCATTTACTTATGCTCATTTGTATACATTTTTCTCAATAAAAATATAATTATAATTAATTGTATAATATTTGAATGTATAATTAATCAACACATAATTTTTATAATATTGATAACACAGCATAAGGATTGTATATTATATTTTGTGATAATGCTAATTCTCTGATTATATTATCACTTTGGTTTTTTTTTCCTTGGTTTTTTTTCCGGGATTCCATAACGTATATAAAATCCCACCAAAAACATATATGTAAAATGAGAGCCAAGTTCAATACTATAATATATGCCTTGGTTGTTGACTTCAACGACAAAATAAGTGAGATCTAAATGGGTGCCAAGTTAGGATAATATATTGAAGCCTAAGGTGTGACTTGGCTACTTTTCATATACGAATTATTATTATAAGTACCTACTAAAACAGTAATGGAAGAGTGAAGATGATTTTCCGAAGAATAAAATAAGAACTCAAAGCTTTAGAACTTGCAAATGCTATAATATATAATTCGTAGCCAAGTCAGACCTTAGGCTTCAATATATTATCCTAACTTGGCACCCATTTAGATCTCACTTATTTTGTCGTTTAAGTCAACAACCAAGGCATATATTATAGTATTGAACTTGGCTCTCATTTTACATATATGTTTTTGGTGGGATATCATTACTTTTTGTATGTAAATTATTATAACCTAACCTAACCTAGCCATGACGTATTCTATAAATAAAGTTTATTACTATATAATATAATTCAGTTACTAATATTAATAATAATATTTATTATAAAATATTTTCCGTTGTATATACAGAGTATACAATATATGTAAAATTAATATACAATTATTTTAACTCTTTTTGAGTATATTTTTAATTATCATAATTTTATTGACTAGTTTCTACTGTTGGGTGGATAATTCATAATTTGTAAGAATAATTATTTAATTATTTTAATTGTAATATTTAAAAAAAATAATATTAATTACATACATAGATAGAAAAAAAAGTATGTTGCTGCGCGCGGGTCGACAATATCGACACATATTCGGCTAGTCGTATTTTTGGAGCGGCGATACGGGAAAGGTTATTTAAGTCAACATTACATTACAGTACATTAAATTAGAGGCAATTATTATACCTAACCTAACCTAACCTATAAATTGAAAAATTAAACATAATAGATAAAATAATTGCAAAATTATAATAAAATCAATTGATTAAAAAATTAAAAATTAAAAATTTTCAAGTTTCTGATTTTAGATTCTGAGTGAAACGATGAATGTATTGATTTTACAATGATGTGTGTTTTTTTATTTTTTTATTTTTTTATTTTTTAATTTTTTTTGTATCTGTGTACACGATAAGTAGTCGAAATAATGCTTCGATTTTCGACTTCAGTATCTTGTTCGATTGGAAAGTGAATATCGTTGGTGCATTGGGGAGGTCAAAATTTAAATTTCCCAGTAGTTTTCACAAGCGCCGGGAAAAACAACATAAAAATTAAGGAAAAACGGGAATTTTTACGCAAAATCGATTTTCCAAAAAATCGATTTTGGTTATTGGTGTAACTCTAAAACAAATGAACGTATATACATGAAATGTTCACTGGTTGTTTATATTTGCATTTTCTATACACGATAACATTTTCAAAATATTTTGATTTATTTTGAACTGTTTAGGGACATTTTCATTTTTCGTTTTTTTTTAGTTTTTTTTCTAGAAATATCAATAAAATTTTATTTGTTGGTTGCGAAAGCTTGAAAATTTAATAGAAGGCTCCTAATATATTGTTTCAAAGGCAGATGAAAAATATTAAAAATCCTTAGTCACGATTTTTTTTTATAAGCATTTAAAGTTCAAAAATTGACAAAATATGGAAAAATCACGAAAATTAGCAAATTATTTTGAGTTAAGAATTCGTAAAAATTTTTCTTTTTAAATCTAAGATTTGAAAATCTAATACAAGATTATTCATAAGATTGTCTACCTTTATCAATAAAAAAATTTCTACCGGAAAGTCAAATTAAATTTTTATGAGCGTTTGAAATTCAAATTTTTACAACATTGGATATTCACTCGATTTCTCATGTGGCAATTTCCTTTTTTTGTTGTAATTAAAAAACGAATTACTGTAGATACATGAAAATTTCACTGAATGTTTATATTAGCTTTGCCTATACACCCTACAATTTTGAAAATATTTTGACACTTTTTGAGCCGTTTACGGACATTTTCAGTTTTCAATTTTTTTAGTTTTTTTTTTCTATAAATATCAATTAAGTTTTATCTGTTGGGCCAAAAAGTGTAAAAATTTAATACAAGGCTCCTGATATATTGTTACAATATCAGTTGAAAAATATTAAAAATACATAGGCACAATTTTTTTTTATAAGCATTTTAACATCGAATTTTGATAGAATTTTTCAAAATCTCGAAAATTATTAATCATCGTAATTAATAAATTATAAAATGTTCAGTTTTTATAGCTAAGGATTGAAAATTTAAAACAAGATTCCACGTAAGTAGTTAATTCTCTTACCGAAAAATCTAAAAAATATACAATCACAGTTTATTTTTATAGTCATTTTATGTTCAAATTTGGACGAAATTACATATTAAAAAACCTAGTTATTTTGTTGTGATTATATAATATTATTCGTGGGTACCTACTTGAAACTTCTAAAGTGTACTAGGTATTATATATATATGATAGTATCAGGGTTTGTTATTGATGTTAATGTATAACGTGTTATAAGTACCTAATGAATATTGTGATAATGTGATATGATTAATTTGGAATTTATTATAGGTCAATTTTTTTTTTAATACCATAGATATGTATATAATTTGTATTAAACCTAGACTGACATACCGTCTTCGCTCAGAATCGTTTTTCTTATACAATGATTTTGTATCATTGAATTCAAATTTAATAGCATCCATTAGACAGTGACCCACTTGTAACCTACTGTACAGCAGAGCGACATCCACTTTTTTCCTTTGTATTTACCTAACTACCTATCTGTATGCCAAATTTGAACTTTCTAGGTCATCTGGAACTGGGTTAGAATTTTGATCTATAGGTAAGTCGACTTAGATCAGTGATAAAAATGACGATTTTCGGACGTTAATATCTAAATAACGGTTTGAAGTGTGTTTATGAAATTTAGAGCACATGTTATGTATCTCGTTAGTCTCAATATATGAGCCAAATTTGACATGTTTATGTGGAATAGTTTTTGAGTTATGAGGGGGTCAAAAGTGGCTCCAAATGATTTGTGTAATAACTAATATTACACACGGTGCTGCTCGCCAGTTCTGTTAGCTAGAACTTGGCTTGACAAGCTACCGCGTGTCTAGATTCGAATACTTTTTATTTGTGATACCTATACCTACCTAGATTAATAAATAGACGGTGATAGGTAGGTACATTCATTATTCCGTATATTCAGTTCAGTGTTTAGAGACATTATACCTAATGTTCGAGTGTCAAATAATATATTCAGCTCAGAGGGCAGTACTTACCACCCCGTCGGTAATAGCCGTCGTCGACCTTAATTTTGCCGATCCAGCCATTCTCGATCAACTTCGTTTCTATCTTTGCCGGCATCTTGGCCACCGCGGTAAATATTTTTCTCTCGAGGATCGCTTGGTCTACTGTTCCCACCGACTTCTTGCCGCTTCCTCGGCGAAACTTGTCGCACGATAACTTAACGTTTGCGACCTTTGAGTTCGTCTTGGACACATCACTAACAGACTTCATGGTAGCCATACGGTCAGGTCCGAACGAACCTACCTTTCGCGTCCGTTTAGCAGGCCCGTTGCACGACGACGACTTAACGCGTATGCCTTTGATGGATGTTATCTTGCCTCCATAGTTGTCCCTAAGTACAGTGTGGTTGTTACAGGCCATCGGTACGTGTAAAAGATAAAAATAATGTGTATGGTGTTAAAATTTGTTATTAAATTTAGAACTTTTTAAATTTCATTAAGTATATTTCAATACGGTTACTTGTTGAATATAAATATTTCAAGTGTTTTACGTAGTGATGGCAACGACATATCAAACTCAAACATATGTTTTAAATTATAACGTAATACAATAAAATCTACTACATTCCGGATTTCTGTAAAATGATTAGATATACCTATTTGGAATATATTATGATTATTATTACACCTACCATATAGATGTGTCCTTGGACAAAACTGAAGAAGAGAGATAGCTATAGTCAATTGAATTCTTATATTAGTTATTACTTATTACCTATATATTAGACTGAAATATATCACAACACATATCTTAATACAGTGTCATTACCATCATTAATGTATGATTGATCTATGATAGCATTTTCATGTAAGAAAAAAATATATATTTTGATTTACCTATGTATTCAGATAAAACATACATGCAATTTAACTTATTTAAACTTGTTAAAATGCCGGTAGATCAGTACCTAACTAATTATATCCAATCGCAATAACTAGGACCCGGATTTTTATGCAAATGCATATCCCTTCTACATTTGACGTATAATAAATCTGATTAAATATCTTGACGTTTCGTAAAACGTAGATTTTACTATTTTTACTGTTAATTTATTTTTTGCATATTTGCATAAAATGCATAATAATTGCATATTTCGGGGTAATTACATAAAATGTGCATATTTAATAAATACTTAATAAAATATTTTATACTTTACTCAAAGTTTGATATACATGCCGATTTTGCCCGATTGCCGACGTTCCTGACAAATATAATTCGACCGAATAAAACAAAATTTTTTACTAAAGGGAATTGCGTGACAGACGTATAGACGTATTATAGACGTTATCTTATAGATAAATAATCTGATTTCTGGGACATGAGATTAAGCTAACATAATAATATTATAGTAAAATTAGTTACTGACTGTTGTTCGTCGGTGTAGTGTGTCCACGGTTTTCTTTTCTTAATATCAATAATCAACATTTAAAAAAATGCCATAGGCAAATAAAGCACATTATTATGTAACCGAATATCCAGACATCTTTAAAACAGATGGAGGTGTAAAATTTTGTATTTGTTGTGGTATCAACGTGTCATGTAATAGAAAATCACAGGTTACACAACATTTAGAAACTTCAAAACACTTCGGAAACTATAAGTTGAAATCTAATAAAGAACAGGTCAGTCAACAATTTATTCAAAAATCGTTTTCTCAAGCTAGAACAAATAACCAACATTTAAATGAGGTTAACAATTATTTAACAACGTTTATGGTAGCAAATGATATATCCCTTCATGGAAATTACAAAACGCAGAGTTTGACAATTTTTTTGAAAAGTATATTTAACTAAAATTACCCGATGAATCGACTGTACGAAAAAACTATGTTCCATTATGTTACGAAGACGTATTATGTAAGATTAGGAAGGAAATAGGGAATAGTTCTATTTGGGTACCTATCAATAGACGAAATTATTGATGTCCAAGGACGATATGTCGGAAGTGTAATAATTGGTTCTCTGTCTTCTGAAAATTCAACAAAACCGATTGTTTCAACTGTTGAACATTTAGAAAAGACAAATTTTCAAACAATTTCGAAATTATTTAATGATTCAATGAATATATTATGGCCTGAAAAAGTATTGCAAGACAAAGTGTTATTGTAGGTCACAGACGCCGCTCCTTATATGGTAAAATCTGGACATGCGCCCAAGGTATTTTAATTTTATCCTAAATTAATCCATATTACTTATATGGCCCATGGGCTTCATAGATTATCAAAAGCTATTAGGAATAAGTTCTCAAATATTGATTTGTTGGTATCTAACACAAAAAAAGTTTTTTCAAAATCATCTGGTCGGGTAGGTACTTTTAAAGAAAAATGTCCAAACTTAAGTTTACCCCCACAACCTATTATTACCCGATGTTGAACGTGGCTTAATGCCGCGTTTTATTATGGTAAAAACTTTGACAAAGTCAAAGAAGTTATCGACACATTTAACCCAAATGATGCAAGCTCTATTCAAAATGCACAACAATTATTTAATGATAACTCGATCAAAAATGAACTTTCGAAAATTCTATCAAATTTCCAATGCATAACAGACGCCATCACGTGTCTAGAAAAATCGGGTGTCAATCTCGGAAAAAGTCTAGAATTGGTTCAAAATGTAGAAAATAAATTGAGTGAAGGAGGACGTGGTATTGAATTTGCTAAAGTTAAGCTATTGGAAGTATTATCGAAAAATCCCGGATTAACAAAAATAAAAAAATTTCTGAAATTATAAGCGGAGAAATAAGAAACGATGATGAAGACCTTGCAAAGTTGTCGCCAGAAGATATTTCTTGTTTCAAATACACACCCATTGTGTCAGCAGACGTGGAAAGAAGTTTTTTGAAATTCAAGGTATGATGCTACACATTCAATTCGATAATTTAAAAGCACATTTTGTTACATTATGTTGGTACTCATTCAATAATTTATACACATTTAAAAAAATTATATTTAAATTGTATTTTTTATTCACTTAATACTGTATTTTTTAATTTTGATTTTTTAAACAATACATTTTTTTTTGCATATTATTTGCATATTTTTGAATTTTTGAGTGCATATATCTAAGTCCTCGCAGTCTTAGCTGTAAGTTGGTTAGTCAGTTATGACACAGGTAAAGTTCTTTCATATGCAAAAATATAATGCAGGACGGAGACAATACACATGCAGACATGTCACGTCCTCTTAATGCAAAATGAGATCGTGTAACGAAATACGTTTACAAATTATACCTCATAACTATGTGCGATGTGCAATAATATTGTTAGAACTTACATCTCTTATAATATTAGTGATACATTATTACACTGATTCATCTAATAGGTACCTACAATCATATATTATAATTTATTAATAATGTAAATTTGTATAAAAATTAGATTATACCTATGTATTATATATGTATTATACCTACACGAAATTGCATCAACTACAAATAAAATATGTTTATGTTGAATAATTAATTCAATATCGGATTTTATGTGTTATTTAATAATCTACCTAAATGTAAATTGTAAACTTGTATAAAAATTAGATTACCTACCTATGTATTATGTTTATGTAGTCAAAAATTATAGACCTAACCAAACAGAGCCATTAAGGTAGGTAAAAAATAATACATACATGTCTACCTACATAGTCAGAGGTAGGTAGGGGTACACGATCATTGAAAGTATATAAATATTAGACAAAAAAAAACATTTAAAACTGTGAACATATTTTAAAGTATTTTTTTTTACTATGATGACCACCTCATGTTAAAATGCTGTCAGTTGGGCTCTGAATGTGATTTAATTGTCCTGAATGTACAACATGACTCCCTAAATAACAAAAATTTACTAACAAAATTCAAAAATTTGACCTACCCGATAATACTTTATAGGTGTTACAAGTTCCTATATAGATTATAATGACAATTATTATAAAATATACCATTCAATTTTATTATAATTTGATGAGGTAACAATTTTGAACTCAGATTTACCAATTATTTTAGCAAACGATTAAACAATTTGTTATTATATTACATTAATTTTTGTTTATTTTATGATGTAGGGAAGTTTATCTTCTACATCTACTAAGTTTATTATAAATTATAATCTAAATATATCAAACTGATAACAGTATACCTAGTCACAAATAATAATATAATTTAATGTAATTCCAGTATAAAGTACTTCCAGTATTTGTACGTGAATGTTTCAAAAATCTACAATTCATATCTGTGTCACATAGTTACCACTTGTCAATATTAATTTCTTGTGTTCATTACGGATAAATTTCATTCCTATACGTATTTCTGTATAATCTTCTCTGTTAATTGTGCCTATATAATATTTTCAAATAAATATGTCATACAGATGTGTATCTATGCCTAACATGGCTGCGATGTGGGAAAATTCTTCAGCCAAATCGACAGATATTGGATGGCGATCAACGCCAAATCTCAAGTTTAACCGTACCAATGATATACGAAGACCGGAACCGTCGAAAAATTGTGATTCCGAGGGTTTTCTGGACGGCAGGTTCTGTGTATCTGAGCTGAACATTCCCATACATCCAAAATTAGCTGGCGAGACAGCTGCAGATATTGGGTGGCGATCAACGCCAAATCTAAAGTTTCAGCAGGTCACCAGCGATGTACGGAAACCGGAATCGTCGAAAAATTTTGATTCCAAAGGTTTTCTGGACGGCAGACTCTGTGTATCTGAGCCAAATATCCGCATACATCCAAAATTAGCTGGCGAGACAGCTGCAGATATTGGGTGGCGATCAACGCCAAATCTAAAGTTTCAGCAGGTCACCAGCGATGTACGGAAACCGGAAAGTCCGAGACACACACGTCCTCGTCGTTCATTTTGGCGCCAGACAAAGAAATTTGTCAGGCGGTTCCTTTGTTGTTGTGGTTCTGTTGACAAGATAGACCAGTAATATGTATATTATAAAGTTTAAAAGGTTTTTAAACATCCTCTCCTCTCCCAACATTATCTCACTTTTGTGTTCGCTGGTATACTATTCTGAAACTGTTTATCATGTCCTCCATTGTCATTTGTACCAAGTTAGTATAGGTTTGCCTCACGTATTTCATGCACTGTACGTCTGTACCATCGTCGGCTCTTCGCCACCTGTTTTGTTCTGTATTAAATTAATATTATTAATATTATTATGTTACTCATATTAAACGTATTATTATAAAGTATGTACTATGTATTAATACCTATCTATTATATCTACCTCATTCGCTTTGCATAAATATATGTAATAATCCTATATGGTCACGCAGGTGGATATTGTATTGTCATGGATGTCATCGATTTTCATGATAGTAAAACAATTTAAAATTATCTATACTATAGAGTGGTACCTATACCTATTTTAATTAAGAATCTTATGTTTTAGTAAAAATAAAACATTTAAGTAATATTGGTATTTTGTTTCTATGTTAGGAAGAACCTAGACAATCTTTTTAGCTAACACAAAAGGTGTGTACAAGTACAATACACTTAGTCCAGTCTTACGGTTCCCCCTCAAAATATCCCATGCATCAAAATATCCCTCGTTCAAAATATCCCTCGTTCAAAATATCCCCGTTAAAAATATCCCTGTTAAAAATATCCTACGTTGAAAATATCCCCGTTACAAATATCCTATATTCAAAATATCTCATAATAGGTATATTATTTTATTACATGGGTCAAAGGGGGGTTCGTATTAAATCACTAATAACTCGTACTTCGGTAATAATTGATATAATATTATTATAACGTCATTATTTTACAAAGGTCAACATACAATTTAAGTCCGTAGGTATGGTTATTTTTGAAATAAAATATACATATAAAAGATTTTTTAAAATGAAAAATTACACGCAATGCCTTTTAAATAGTTAAGTACAGTAACATGTTCATAATTAAGAACCACTTCTTTTAATTGTTTATCCAATTTCTCGTAAATTTTCTTTTTTTTAACGGGTAGCTCACCAGACATGTATTTTTCAATTTTTGCTTCTTGAAGACCTACATAATTGTAATATAATTGTAACATAATTGTAATAATATTACTTAAATAAAAAAAAAATAATAATAATTGTATATTTTATTTACCTTGCTCTAATTGGAGACACTTGATAAATTTCCATATCGATGCATGATGAGCTCCTAGAGATCCATTAAAGGCATGGTGCCACCCCTCAACGGCATTGTTTGTGCGAGGCTTATTGTCAATAACTGATTGATAACAATTCCACAAATCAATATTAAAATGTGCTCCTCTTCGTCCTCTTCGCCCTAAACGTCCAATCCACGTGTCTTCAAAATACATTATTATAGATTCTAATAGTTCTTCATTTTGTATATAATATTCTGATTCAATAAGCTCATCAAAGGCTTCGATTACTTTATTTGGTGGTATAAATGACAATGAACAAAGAAGTCGAACTTGTAATGCAAATTCAGAATCTTGACCATATTTTATCTGTAGGCCACTATTTTGTATTTTCCTCCAAACACACTGAGTAAAATGAAAAAAGCAACCTCTAATAACCGCCGTTGGAAATTCTTCTTTAAAAGTTGATATAAAAGCATTTTCAAAGTCAACCATTAACATAGATGGCTTCAGATTTGGTTTCTTAGTTTTTAAAAATTTTAAAATTTCTGAATACGTTTCTTTTGTTCGGTCAGTCATTAAAATATAAACTAAAGGATATGTAGCATTTTTTTTACAAGCGTGAATTGTATAAAGTTGAGAAAACAAGGGTGGAACAGATTTAAAAGTTCCATCAGCCATCCAAACATCTGATTAATTTAAAAAATCTAAATTGTTTTCTGTAGTAAATATTAAACTACGTTTTCCTTCTTTGTTAATATCGTGTAACAAAAATGGAACCCCCGTTTTGGTTACCTTATATTGGTCTGGTAATATTAAATCAGTTATGTTGATTGGATTTGTAGGGTAATCATTATATTTATTTCTTGTTCTACGTACAGTCTGAGATAACATATCAATTGGTGGTAATTTACTTGTAGTTATTTTAGATACATCTGAAACTATTTTACTGACAACATTTCTTGTAGGTTCGCATGACGTTTTAGCTTCATTTTTTAACTTATCAATTGCTTCTTTAACATTAACTTTATCAGCATTTGGAGGGTGACTATGTGTGGGTATTTTTATAATTTCTCCTAAAAACAAGTAAAAAAAAATTTAATTGACTGAAAAAAACAAATGCATTTTTGACACCAAAAGTATTAATCTGTTTTGACGTACCTGATTCTTCGTCATTAGTTGTATGACAGCGTCCTTTACATTTGTATTTTATAAATTCAACACAGCGCCAAATACATTTATTTTCAGTCGATCGGTGTAAGCTATGCAAATATCCGTCGTATGAAAGTAGCTTTTTGCCTTTTTGGCTATTTACAAAAATTAAATTTGACATTTTTCGTTTTTGTTTTCACGGATATGAAATGGTAACCACGCTCACAAGTGTAATGCCGATACATTATCGAAAATTTCGATGGTTTGTATTTGTCAACTTATTTTATCATTTTTATTATTTCAACAAAATACAGGTATTCCTATTGCAAGTTCTAATATTATCTGATTACGCGGCTTAATATAAAGATAACGAAAATGAGATAATCATAAATGACTATTGTATTAAATTCTACTTATATATATTATATTATATTATACTATGATTTACAAATAATACAGGTATTCCTATTGCAAGTTCTAATAGTATCTGATTACGCGGTTTAATATAAAGATATCGAAAATGAGATGTTTTATGTATATTGTTATAAATTAAGGGACAATATTACTGGAGATATTTTGAATATAGGATATTTGTAACGGGGATATTTTCAACGTAGGATAATTGTAACGGGGATATTTGTAACGGGGATATTTTGAGCGGGGGATATTTTGAACGAGGGATATTTTGATGCATGGGATATTTTGAGGGTGCACCAGAAATGTTCACTCTGAGGTAGGTATAGGTACCTACTAAAGTAAAAAATAAAAATAACTGTGTAGAGATCACATTCTACATTAATTTATTGAATTATAATAACATAATAATATTGTTTAATATTATTATTAGGTACCTTTTCCTACTAAATAGTTATTTTAATTTGTTTAAATTAAATAATATAATATAATATTTAAATTAATATTATATTATTAAATTTAATTATTTGATAAATGATAAAAAAAAAAAGCGGGCAATTTGAAATGGGCCAATGAGAACGTGGTATACATAAGACGCTCTGTGGCGTCCTGGGTTTCCTAATACGCCTCCGGTACACGGGCGGTCCGTACACAGGTCGTGACCAGCCGCCGGAACGTAGACCCTGGTATTTGGTCTACCAAATGATTTGGCACTTGGCTTTCCGCTGTCGCGGAAAAAAATTAGATGACCTGTGTTTTATCTTTATGTATATATGTATGTATTATACCCAGTGGTCGAAATGGCTCAAGATAAGTGGAGGGATGCCTTACAATTCAGATTTCCTGATATCATCATAACATTCTTCATACCTTGTATAGTATTTTTTTTTTATAGTTCACATTTTGTTTATGCATCAGAATACTACAATCTTTTTCGATCATAAATAATCTTTAAAACTAAACAAATAAATAACATATTTTCAAATTTTTCAAAAAAAATGATAAAATATTTTATTTATAATATTTTTCTGTGGACTTATTATCATCAATATTGTTATTGTTTTGTGATATTAAAATATTATGTTATTAGCTCTAAACACGACTAAGGTATATGTAAATTCTTAATCCGTGGCTCTAAATACGGGTATAGATAATATGATTGCGAAACGACCTATACGAAAAATAAAAAGTTTTCTTATACATAGGTATAAATATAAAAATCATAATAATTATTTCATTTTAAAACACAAGTCTTAGGAGGAATGCGTTATTCTAGACAAAATAAGTAGAGGGATGAAAAATGTAAATACAAAAAAGTAGAGGGATGTCATCCCTCCGTATCCCCCCCCACTTCGACCACTGATTATACCTACACGAAATTGCTTTGATTTCAAATAATATAATATGCTTACGTTGAATAATTTATTACCTATTAATAATCAACACCAAAATACAATTGAAAAAAAAACGTGGGCAAGTGCAGAGGCGTTCTCAGGATATTTCAATGGAGGGGGATGAAAAAAATGGTTTCAAAATAAGCCGTACCTAAGGGTTTTGCCTCACAACTCCCATATTATAATAATGAATATTAAAAAAGCGGGTAAGTGGATGTCGCTCTGCTGTACAGTAGATTACAATACTTAGTCACTGTATAATGGATTGTATTAAATTTGAATTCAATGATATCATATCATTGTATACGAAAAACGATTCTGAGCGGAGACGGTTTGTCAGTCTGGATATTTTATATTGTAATTATATTTTATTATAGCCTGTGAGTTGAATTAATATTATAAATTACGATAAAATAACTAAAATCATTATTTTTATTTTATTTGTTACAATGGTGATAAACAAAGTGTTAGAAATTGAAATCACATTTTTAGCGGTTTTTGAAGTTTGTCGGTGAAATTGTAATGTGTCATTAAATAAATATTGAGAAAATTGAAAAATTACCTCTCTAAAGTACCATCTTGATAAAATTTGCTAAAAGAAAAGATATACTATATGTTAAAAGCGAATAACTGCTTCTGGTAGAAATTTTGTATGCAGGATAAAATAAAAATAAATATAAACAATATTGAAAAACCAATAGATCCCCCACTCCGCTCAGAATCTAATAATATTGATAGTAATATAGTTGATAATATCAAATAATCAATTCAAGTCATATTTATTGTTCTTTTTATTTAAACTATAAAAGAATGTTATGAAACAGTTTAAATCAGGAATGAAAAATGTTTTTAATTATTTCGTTTTTGTTTTTGATTACCGTTTTTTAAAACGTTATTTTTCTATATTGTTTTTGATAATATTGTTTTTTTTTTTTTATAGTAGTAAATTTAGCAATTTAGAAATGCACTTAAGAGGACGCTACACCCGCATGTGTTGTCTCCGTCTTACACACGTACGACATAGACAAAACGCCTTTAGGCAGTCTGAGTATAACTCGCTTAATTTTGGTTCTAGAGTAAAAATACCTATTATGAAATTGAATTGTGATAATATTTCTAAGGGCAAGACGCTGCGGTTTTTTTTAAAAAATTTAATTTTTTAAAAGTCAAAGGTATTTTAAAAATGGTGAAATATTTTCTATTTCTAAACGATATAATGAACGTTATATTGGGTATATAATGGAAAAACCGCAGCGTCTTGCCCTTAGAAATATTATCACAATTCAATTTTATAATAGGCATTTTTACTCTAGAACCAAAATTGAGCGAGTTATACTCAGACTGCCTAAACGCGTTTTGTCTATGTCGTACGTGTGTAAGACGGAGACAACACATGCGGGTGTAGCGTCCTCTTAAGAGTTCAAAATTAAAATTAATTATTCTTGATTTCAAATAAAAATGTTTTTAAATTTTAATAGAGCATTGTTGGTAAAGATTAAAAAGTAAATACTTAAGTAACATTTTTTTTTTCGTGTTATTAATATAATAATGTATAATACTATAATTTATTTGCGTTTTCGTTTTTGATTTCGTAATTAATTTTTTTTCTGTTTTTGGGATTTTTTGTTATGGTTTTTTGTTTTTGTTTTCGTTTTTTTTCCGTTAACTAACGTTTTTTAAAAACGTTTTCCATCCCTGGTTTAAATTATTTATTTTATTTTATCACTGTGGTGTTATCATTGTGTATCTTAGCTTTACATTTTTTCTGACGCTGGGAATTTATAAAGTTGACGGAGTGATTGTTTACAAAAATACAGTACAAATCAATTGTAAAGCGAATTGCCTGTTACATGTTATAATTATCAGTGATAAATAATAATATTGTTTATGGCTGGTGGAATCAATAATCACGATAAAGAAAAAATTGCAAAAAAAAAAATAAAATAATAACTACCAACTACCAAGTCAATATTGAAAACACAAACACATATCAAAAGTAGACAAAACGTGTACTACTAATATGTAAACAAATAAAGAACCTTGGCGGGATCTATCCCCCATATCCCCCCCTGTGAGAACGCCCATGGGCAAGTGACCCAGTCTCTGTGATTTATATGTTAAATTTGAATTCAATGATATAAAAACATTGAATACGAAAAACGGTTCCGACTTTGAGCGACGACGATCTGCTATCTTAAAGACAATAATATTACTAAGTATATTAAATATTTTATAATATATTACTACTGTTAAGATAAATTATTTTACTATTTGACAATAGTACAGACAGTACAGTACTTAAAATATAGATTAAAGTAATTTTTTCCAAAATACTTGCATTTAAAAATGTCATTGTGTGTATACACCAAATAATATTATGTATACATTAATAGTTTCAAGTAGGAATATAGTACAAGATTATCTGAATAATATAGCTATACTTAATGTTGAACAACACCATACATCTGAACTCTGAATTAATTTTGGGAAATGTTATAAGTTACTTTGCTAATTTAAAAGCAAGAAAAATGAATTTCCGTTCTTAATTTGTATGATTATTCTATTTCTATTGCACATATTATGAGTATATTTAGCATTCTAATTTATGACAAGTTGTCA